TGCCACTTTCAGTAAGATTGCCTATCTCCTGGAGGGACGGGTCTTCAATTTTCAAGCTCCAGAGGTAGCCTTATTTTCTAATCTAGCAACCTTTTGGAATTTATGAGCACTTCACATGTGTTTAATGAGGCTTAAATTGTAAGCAATCTTACCAGTTCTTGTTCATGAAAGGAAAGCTGACAGAGTTTCAGATATCTTGAGAGAAATACTGAGTGAATCAAAACAATAAGCCTGCCCTTTCCCTGTGCCCCAGTTGCCCCAGTTTGCTGGTAAATACAAGGCATATGTATAGTCAGAATAAACAGTCCCAGTTTTTATTTGTTTCCTCAGTCTCACTGTGCGCATTCAGGCCACTGAATCAAGACTCATTGACATGTACCTCTAAGTTTTTAAACATATAGATAAGCTTTATTCTCTCTCAATTTTTATCTTCTTTATCTAAAAATCTGATTTTCAAGAAAACAAAAGTTAGAGTGCTATGAAGACATGAAAGCAATGCTTTAAGATGACATTTAATAACAACATCTAAGGACATTCAAATAGACAAAGGTCTCACTCTTTGAAAGTATTTAAGTGCCTAAATGTCTTTGAGCATCTGGACCAACATAAAGGGTTTTATATTTGGGAATACAGGTTTTTAGTATATTGCATTTTAACAAAAGGTGTTTCAAAGTCAGAAGAGTTAGTTATAAATATACACAGCCTTATATCCGGTATACCCCCATCTGGCACCTAACAGACATAATATTTTCAAACGTTTTGGACAAAGTTTTCCTAAGATTAATATTTCAAATGAGGTTTGAAACTCCTATCTAGTTTCTTCAGGAAGTTTTCTGCTTTAAAAAATAGATACCCACAAGCTCCTTTAAAAGGAAATGAGGCATGAAGGAAATAAAACTTTTGTGTGATGTTTTCATTTACAACCAAGAAGAGCAGCAGCGTTTCCACTTTCAAGGATACATGCTGTTACAGGCGCTTATTCAGATATACTCAACATTTAATATAAACCGTCATAAGGTAAAGATTCATTTTATTTTCACAAATGTTTGTGCCTACCACATGCATCTCTGCAAACTTTTACAATCTAAAAGGAAATACTCTGGAGTCTAATTCCCCCTTCACAGCAGGAGTGGCTCTGCTACTCAGCAGACTTTTTCAAGCTTAAATCTACAAATGCAATTGATGTACAAATCCCATTTCATCCCAAACAACTTATTTGAGCTGCAAACAGTTAGAAAACGCTGCTGCTGATTGCTCTACCCTTCTTACATAAACCTTTGCTGTTCGTAACTTTGGGGTCATGCTAACAAACAAGGGATAACTACCCTGGAAGGAGGTAGGAGCCAGCAGGACTCACTGGAGGAAGTACCATTTTGTACTTACACTTTTCCCTAAACATTCACAACCAGCCACTGCCAGAGTCAGGCTTCTGGGCCAGGGTAGCCCTGTGGTATGACCCCACTATGGTCGTTCCCAAGAGCAAGGTACAAAATATGTTTTAATCCCTCCTGAAGGCATTCAACTTCTTCACATTCGTTTTTATTGTTTTTATTCGTTTTATTAGTACTGCAGACTAATCCAGGAAAGAAAAAAGTTTGTAAAGTTCCCCCCTTTTCTTTTTTCTCCATTTCCCCATTTTATATGTTTTTCAAATTTGCTTTCCAAAAAAAAAAAAACAACTGCTGTAAGGCGCTGTCATAACACTGGCTCCCAAAGCCTGGACTTTCCCACTCCATGCTGTACTGTGTGGTACAGGTTAGGAAGCAAAAATCTTTCAGAAACTTTTCTGGTAGCATTATCTTTTGTCAGTAAATAGTCCATCAGTAAATACTTTTGTCAATAAACGCAGTGTAAACAAATACTTAAAGATTTGCTCCCATTACTTGACATGGTAATAAATACTTTACATTGGAGTGACTTCCAGCTTTTCTGAGTGTGGGTGGGCAGCAACAATTCAGCGCTCTCCCTTAAAGATGAAATTAAGTTGTCAGAAATATTATCGGTGTGCCAAAAGCTACACGGAACCTCAACTGACAGCAATTCGCATTTTTGCTCTTAAATTTTCTCACTTGCCCTGTGCCAATGGGGTTTTGCCTTCATTTTTGCACTTCAAGTTAAATAGCGGTCAAGTTTAACTTATTAGTAGAAACTAGTTTAGACTTTCTCGCATGTTCCATCCAGGATACGTGTGCTCCTCCTTCACTTATGTTTAACTCTACAGCAAAGTTTGTTGCCTGGATCAAACAGCTGTGACAAGTTCAAAATGATTGCCACCAATGTGCTAGGTATCTTGAGATTAACAGGAAACAGAATCACAGATTCGCAGAACGGCCGAGGTTGGAAGGGACCTCTGGAGATCATCTAGTCCAACCTCCCTGCTCAAGCACGGTCCTCTAGACCACGTTGCACAGGATCACGTCCAGGCGGGTTTTGATTATATCTCCAGGGAAGGAGACTCCACTACCTCTCTGGGCAACCTGTGCCAGTGCCCTGTCACCCTCCCAGGAAAGAAGTTTTTCCTCAGGTTCAGATGGAACTGCCTGTGGTTCAGTTTGTGCCCGTTGCCTCTTGTCCTGTCGCTGGGCACCACGGAGAAGAGGCTGGCCTCCACCCTTTGTACAATTGGGCCTCTCAGTCTTCTCTTCTCCAGGCTGAACAGGCCCAGCTCTCCCAGCCTTTCTTCAGAGGAGAGAGGCTCCAGTCCCCTCATCCTCTTTGTAGCCCTCCGCTGGACTCTCTCCAGTAGTGCCTCTCTGGTACCGGGGAGCCCAGAAGTGGACACCGGACTCCAGGTGAGGCCTCCCCAGGGCTGAGGAGAGGGCCAGCATCACCTCCCTCCACCTGCTGGCAACACTCTGCCTAATGCAGCCCAGGATCCCATTGGCCTTCTTGGCCACAAGGGCGCATTGCTGCCTCATGCTCAACTTGTTGTCCAGCAGGACTCCCAGGTCCTTCTTGGCAGAGCCGCTTCCCAGCAGGTCAGCCCCCAGCCTGTCCTGCTGCATGGGGTTATTCCTGCACTTGACTTTGTTGAACTTCAATCCTTTCCAGGGATGGAGGTGAGGCTAACAGGCCTGTAGTTTCCTGGGTGGTACCTAGAGCTACCAGTCAGAGGGGTTGGTAGTTTGAGCAGGAGAGAAATGCAACCCAGCCAAGAGAGTAAAGCAGTCTCGCCTTTTGAACCGTGTTATCCATGCTGGAAAAAAATAATAAATATTATGCTGTAAAGGCCCAGGGAGGAGAGCCACAGTAGTTCTGTGGCATAATGAACTGAGGAACACAGAAGGCATCTGAAGGTGCCTATGCTTGATGGAACAGAGACTAAACGACTTTGAATAGTTTTTCTTTTTTCAGGGGATCTAAAATTTCAGATTTAGCTGTCATATATTAAGCAACAATTTGCGTGTGAAGATGCAGCAGAAACCCTCCTCAAAGCTCATTCTGCTCAGTGGGCCTCAGAGTTATGTAGAAAAAGAAAGAAACATGATTTCCACCTTAGGTGAAAAGTTGTGGGTTCACAAAGGAAACGCAGGCAAGCCTGTGATACATGTTCACATTAGAGAAAACGTGGTCCTTCTTCAGACGACTTGCATGGCAGGTGATGCTTTCACTGGTGGTGAACACACTGAGAGTTCAGTTCAGGCAGGGTATTTCATGGTTCTGCTCTTCTCTGAGAGGTCAGAGATTCCCTCTATTATACATATTCTATACATAGGCCTGACCTTTTACTTTTTACATATTAAATCCAGTACTATTTAGGTTGGTATTTAGAGCATGCTGCTATATCAGAACAAACACTCCTACCTATATGCTAAACAAAAAGATCAGCATGTCAGCATCATGTAAAACTAATGTTTCTTTGAAAAGCGTTGTTACTGGAAAGGACTGTGTAAATTCCCAGTTTGCCATCTCTCCGTCTCGCCTAGTATTCAGAATAGGTGCTGTGTCTGCCTGCCACCAGCCAGCTGGAACACTACCTTACAATTACTGATAGTTTTATTCTTCTTTTGGTTCCCCAAGCTGAGGCACACTAAAGAAATGTGGACTTTTAAGTGGTCAGAACTCGTTGAAAATTAGCTCTCTTCACATTAAGATAGACACTTAGACGCTGTTAGGTATTATGAAAACCCACATCGGCCGAGAAAGAGTTAAAGAGCTGCTCTGGGCAAAACGAACACTATTCACTTCATCTGCAAGAAGAGTCAGGCCTTGGAAGATAAAAAACAAAGTACAGTGCTAGGTCAGGGAAACAAAGCTGGAAGAAGAGCGGATCCTTCTCCCTCTTTGGAAGAACAGAAACTAAGGGCTTCAGCTGAGACCAAACTTATCATGTTTGCTTTTCAGTCCAGAGTACCCCTCCATTTACTAGGAACTTCTTTATGGTGTGAGTGAAGCCATAGCAGCCAGTGGCCCCAGAAGAGGCTGACCAGCTTCAAACCTCAGTTATTTGGCCCCCACCTATAGAGAACATCCAGTGATTGATTACGAGCTAGGAACAGCATGATCTCGACCACCTCAGAAGGACACTTGAAAATATGTTCTCAGAAACTGTCAGGCATATATTGAGAGTTGTCAGCTCAAAGGCCTTTCTGTCCAATAGGACTCATGTTTTACTTCAGCAACATCCTTATTTAACAGTACTTAACTACAGTTTACTTCAGCAACAGAAACATATTGACACTCAGAGGCAAATTAATATAAACCCAAAGGAAGTCTTATACATAACACTTAATAACTGAAGGAAGCATGCAGTTAGCAAACGCAAAATTCTTATCTGTTTTCATATTCCCCATGCTGTATAGACAGTAAAGGTAAAATAAGTGTTTTGTGTATGTTTTTTAGAACATTCAGTACAGTGAGGTGGAATTTTAGGGGGCAGAAGAAACATATTTTTGCTTACTTATATCCTGTAAGACAGCAGCAATTCAAAAAAATGACAAGAAAAGAAAATGCTAAAACAGCAGAGAAATAAAAACTGCAGCCACCGTCCCAATTTTTACCTTTCAGAGTTGCTTTCTTAAGTACCTTCATGGCATAAAGCTGACCCGCATCAGATCCTTTGATCTTCCTCACTAGAAATACCTATGAAAAGCAGACATCTTGTGTAAATGAGAACTGAACTTTTAGTTAAGAGCATTTGCTGCATTCGTCAGAGTAACAGATACTAAGACTCAGGAATTCTAATGAAAATTATTAGCCTAAAGCACTTCATTTCTATCTCACCCACAATTGGCTGAGCTAGCTCTGGAAAGCTGCAGTCTTGTGCCATTACTTTGTCACAAAGAAGGTATGTGTAACATTATTAATTGACCTTATACAGTCACTTAAAGATGTGAGAATGGGCATAAAGAGTGTGTGCACATTTCTTCATTCTCTCAACACCTCTACCTGAAAAGAAGTTATGCCTCATTTGTACTACTTAGGAATGTCCAGTTTCTTAAAAGTATTGCCATCAATGAAATTGAGGCGAAAAAGATAGTTTAGTGTAATTTATGTCTTAAGCAAGTCATGAACTGTGATGAGCCTAAGATGTACCTGAAGCAAATAGTTCGTAACAACCGATAAATGGAAATATGTTTGTGTAAACGCTTTCTCAAAAAATGTCAGCATTAAATAAAAAGCTGAAAATTGTTCATGCATGCTTAATGAAAGGTAGGACTGTATTTGATTACCAGGTTATTATACTGAAGATAGTTTTCCCTGTTGAAATAACATCTTTTTGTAGCTAAAATTATGATCTTTTTTGTGTTTTTTTTACTCCATACAACTCTTTCTTCCTATCTGACCATCAGTGCATTTGAGTACAGGAGGAATAACACATACAGGAACCAGTAATTCAGTTCAGTTCATATGAGTCTATTTAAGTCTAAATAAAATATACAAGAACTTTTAGTTGGTTTCCAGGACTCACTCTGTCTGCTGAAGTCAGAAATACTAGACAACAGTGCTTCACTTTTTATTTCAGCACTTTTGTTACTGGACAGAAGCAGGTAGTAAAGCCAAACGCAAAAATAAACATAAGCACACATTTATAAGTATATGTTATATGTATATAAATTAACAAAGGCTAGCTGAAATGAGTCAACTGATAAATGTCTAACTGGATTACAAAGATCTGCGGCAATTATTTTATTCATTGCTTTTTCAGGAATCGTGCTGCTCCAGTAAACTGCCTCCACCCAAAATGCAAAAAGTCTAAAAAAAAGAGAGGAGGGAATCTGTTTCCAGCACATTATTTGCTAATTGAAATACTCTTCCTTCTGCAAAAACATCTATAAGCAGATTATGATTTATCAAACACCCTTTAAGGAAAGGTTTGTAGGTAGAGGTAACTTCTTTCTGACCAGCTGGAGAGGTTGAAAAAATTGGGTAATTTCTCACTGAGCATCTGTACCAGGTCTCTCCTATCTGAACAGCATTACAGCTACAACACTTCTACACTATGATCTGATCCAATTTGGTAAGACTGTTAAACTATGAATTGTTCTCAGGATGTTTCCTGTGCATATGAGAGCTTCACAGTTCTTCAGCTGAGCTGTCTTGCCTAGCTGGGACTGCAAATATATATTGCTTGGTCCATCTCCTGTTTCCTAGTTTGACTAACATACAAGTACCTCTGGTACTCACAACTGTAGGAACAAATTATGAAATCTGCATGCAACAGGCACATATAAGACTTTCTGAAGTGTTTCCTATTAACATTCATGATAAAGTGAGCTCAGCTGCCCCAGTATCAACAGGAAGTCAATTCATTTAAAAATTCAGCTATACACAGAGAAATATTGGGCTGCTTTTCCACTTAGTCCAAACAAAATATCTAATTTTCTTATTTCTTCGAAAGGGAAGAGAAAGTCACAAAGTAAGGTTATTCAAACACTGTATTTTCAGCTTGTTCATACTTCTGTAAAAATAGTTATGAGATCTTTATCAAAAAAAAAAAATCCAAACACCCCTCAAACTTAAGTAATGCTTTTAAGATGCATTGCACATTGAGCAGCACAGCATGCGGCACTTGCAGAAGTATTAGGCTGTAGTTCTAGAAGTACTGAGGAGAAAAAGTATGTTATCTGCCATGTAATCGTGCAAAGCTTGTAACACCCCTACGGCTGTCATAAGCAAAATCATCAATTTGTGTTCCTAGTCACTTGTCAGCTGTTCCCTGTAGCACGGGATAGGGCATTTGGTCTGCATTCCCTCCAAAACAGATGAGTCAAGAACACTGTGTGCCGTTTTAGAGGACATCAAAGTAATTATCAAACCAGAAAGGAAAGAGAACAAAGGAAAATGCATCGTACTGCGAAATGATACTGTCCTTCTGATTCTTCTTAAAGGAAGAGTCATATCATTCTTGAAACTTTCAAGTGGTCCTAGAGTGCTTATTTGACTGTTTACATTAGTTAAATTATACCAGTTGGCCAGGATACCACAGACATGTGGCTAAGCATGATTTTCATATTTTTAGCTGGACACGTATGCAAGCACACCTCAGATTATTAATAACTGGCTGCGTAAACAGAACTAGCAAAACTCCCCTAGCTAGAGCAATGGCTATATTTCACAAATCCCAACCTAGAAAAGCTGAGCAAGTTCTGTGACTTTCAAAAGTGTTCAAGCACACTCTCTTTGGCAACAAAGCCATCTTCCTTAATCCTGTAGGAAATGATTTAGGCTGCAGGTGAACAACTTGAAAATCAACAGCTTGGTAACCCAGGAGACTTATTTGAGCCATCAGCTCAAATACTGGGGTGATGAAAATTTGGCTGGTTGTGGACCGCATACGAACTATAGACCAGACTTTGCTCCTCTGTGTCCTGGAGAATTTACTGACTTGTTTCACGTAAGGGACTAAAACTGACTTGCAGTCACACACAACTCCTGAGAGGTACAAAGTCTATCCCTTATGTGCAGCTCCACTGAACTGGGTGGAGCGTGTCCTAGAAATTAGATCTTCTTTTGGAAAGCAGTGGCAGAGACCAGACATTTCACTTATAAAATGTCTAAAGTTAGAAAGCCAGCACAGACAATTAATAATGAGATATATCAGTACACTCCAAGGCAGCCAGTGAGCTGTTTCTAAAATATTTATTGCACAAAATCTGAAAACGGGCTAGTCTGCCTCTGCTGCTCTTGCAAAAGAGTTTTCCTTCTCTTTTTCTTTTCCTTCTCGCACTGAAACACACAGGAAACATCATTCTGAACTATTCGATTTTTTGTATTTCTTTACTATCCGAAACTCAAACACTATTATTGCTCCTTCATGCAATTCTCCAGATCAAAACTTGAAAGTGAATATCAACTCTTCTGAATTCCTCATCTCAGGGAACTTCTAACAGATTTACTTAACAATGTAATTCTGGAATAGTCAGGAAGCTGATAAATACTCCAGACAAAGCTTCTTTCAGGAACAAAACCGAAGGCCCTCATTTATTTTCATGGTGTTCAGCTTTGTGCTGTTTGCCTCAGCAGGTTTTAGGTACAAGTCAGTTCCTCAAGTTATCCAGAATGATCCACTGTTCAAGGCTGGGAAATATCAAGAAAAACAGAAAATCATATACTTAAAATGACAAGGACTTCCGTGCCTGGTTTAAATTAGGTTCACACAACAGTGTCACCCTTCCAGAGGTTGCAAAGCCTGATTTAGTTAAACCATGGAAAGAATTTAAGACTGAATTGATTCCTCTTCCTTTTTCTCCATCTTTCCTCCTTATTCTCATTTCAATCTGAAAGTATCTGCTGAAGTAGAATTGCCTTTGGAATAAAGCAAGCCTACGACTCATACTGTTGTCTCTCTGTAACAGCTTGTGGTCACACAGACAGGCAGGTTTTTAACACAAACGCTACATATATATGTATGTATATATATATATGTATTTATATATTTATAGATGTACACACACACACAGAGGCATATTCGGCAAGGAACTGTATGAGGAAACAGCAGTCTGTGTAGCCATCAAAACCGATGTGAAAATGAAAACAGTTTGTCTCTTACTTAACTGATGAAAGCTTGCAGCTATAAACTGCATCTAAGGCTCAGTCAGACAGCTGTAGTTCTCACACCACCACTGTGAGGTAACTATAACTTAATCTGTAAGTGGGGTTAATGATGGGGAAGCTGAAGCACTGAGAAGATAGGGCCAACATCACTGGGAGCTAGTAGCAGACTTGCTAGTAGCAAAATGAAACTGAAATGGTGGAGTCCTCCCATAGTCTCACCACAGCTATTACTCTCTTCAGCACTGGGGCTTGAGTCCAGGATCCCTTCTGCAGAGCGTATGGGCCTCCGAGCATTAGCTGAAGAGCAAAGTCTGGGACTTTCAAAAGTGCCTTGGATCCCATCTGCCTTCAGCAGCTAACCTGAAACCTCTGAATGTTCCTACTTACGTCTTCTAACAAAGCAGCAGTAACGCACCTCTCTTGCTGACGGACAGGTTAGAAAAAAGGTGGGGGATCTAACTCAATAAATGGCGATAACCTAATGTTTAGTGGTGCTCATTAGTCTAGGTCCAGAGCCATAAGTATTACTTCCTAAACTGTTTTACATGCAGGAATTGAGTAAAAGGCAAAAGTCTTTCTAAAACAAAGAGAGAAGTGGTTTGGTTTTGCTTATTTGCCTTTACAATGAAACGAACAATACAAACAGTGATACCCCTGTAAATGACCTCAGAGAAAGTATGTGATGTTTTCAACATTGCCATAGGTGATTAGACAGCATAAACAACTACCTTTCCATATGAACCTTGTCCTAATACTTTCAGCAGCTCAAACTGAGAAGGATCTGCTTTTTCAAAACCTTCCTTCACATGATGACTGATGTCTATTTCCTTCACGATTCCTTCTTCCTGCAAAGGAGAAAAAAACAAAAAACAAAATAACCCAAATCAGAGCTGCTGTCCTAAGTAAAAGTATTGCTTATTAAAATCTCATCTTCTGTGATGTTACAATCATATATGAAACTTCGTGAAATAGAAACTAACGCTTTTCCAAATATTCTGTGTGCCTGTTATTGTCGCGGAGGGCAACGGCTGGAATGTCAGGACATCCAAGCCTATTGCTTCTGTTTATCAAACATCAAGATGAGACTAGATGGACTGTATAAACTGAAGCACAGAAACACATTGCTGCCAGTGCAGAGCTCGCTGTGCTCCTCATAGACCTTGCTAATAGTGGAATGTATCCACATCCGTACTACAGAGCCTCCAGCACACTTCTCTCCGCATATTTCCTCAGTCTGTCTGCAAGCATCATTTAAATTCACGTCCAAAAGTGAAGCTCTCCTAGTTTCAAGAACCAATTCTTCTTATAAGCAGGCAATAAAGAAAGGACACCGTTAAAAGTGTCTCTTCCCATTTACCTGGAAGAATGGAAAATTACTACCAGTAACCTTCTAAACAGAAAACAAAAATAAAGATTTAGATAGGACAGTGGTGAGAAGGAGAAAAAGAATGACACACACTTTTTTTGTTTGTAGGAACTAGCTTTAAACATTTTGTATTTTCCAGTTTCTTCTGCTGAAATATTTCCATTACCAATAGAGGCACATCCCTTAAAGATACCAACTGAACCAGGACTTTTTTCTTGCAAGCTGTGACATATGGCATTTATTCATTTGTTTTGTGTTATTATCACATGTTCCTCTAAAAACAGAGTGACTGGGTCACTCTGAGAGAGACCCAGAGACTCTGAGACCCAGAGAGACTGTGTAGAGTTTGCAGCAACCCAGAAAGTCACTGAGTTGAAAGGATACCTGAAGGTAAGCACCTACTCTTCAAGGACACAGTGGCAGGGGAAGATATTATTTACCTGTCTTTTTTTATTTCTGTAGTGTCTCTTCATCTGATTATGAGCTTTTTAAAATCCAAACTACTTGTTCTAGCTTCTGTTCAACTAAAATGGGGATTCTGAGAACCAAAGCTTTGTTTCCCAGATCTGAGAGAATTGCTCATTTATATTGAAGGAATAGGTCTGAGTATGCTTGTATGTAAGAGAAGCTGCTGAAATCTTCTAAGCAGTAGTTTTAAATGGAATTTTTGTTATAAGTTCCATTTTCCCCCCCAAGAAAAAAATCTCAATAAAACCTGGAAATGTAATGTTTCCCTCTCCTTCTTAAAAACGAATGTGAGGAAGAAAAAAACATCCTAAAATAAAAACACTTTCACAAAGCCATTTGGCCAAAACACATTCATTTTTCTAAACAAGAATAAATTTGATTTCTTCTCTTCTCCATAAAAATGGGTATAATTTTGAACCAGCTATAGTGACACATCTGATACATGTCTAGCATTACCCAGATTGTTCTGTTTACCGCAGCTTCATCCCCTCTCTTCCCTACCTCATCTTTTTACCCTCATGTTTTTTGGAACAGGGACTCTATCCTCCCCTTGGTTCGGAAAGCTCCCCGCACTTTGTGCACGCTACCAGAATCCTGAAAAATGATCATCCTCTGAGAGCAACTAGTTCTTCTGATCCTGATTTCTCTACTCTAAGTGATTTGCATGAAAGGAACTGCTTGAAACCGATGGGCAGCTTTCAGAGACAGATTTAGAGGTTTTCTAAGTGTATAACCCTGCCAGGATCTCCCTTCTGTTTTTCTGGCTTGCCTGCAGGAGACAGAGTGTTTTTCTGATTTTAAAAACATTGGTTACTTCAAATTTTTATTCGAGAAATAATAGTAAGCTGATATAAATTTGATACTTTATTATCAGTTCTGTTTCTTAAGGAAACTAAGGCTTACCTAGCTGCTATAATCAAAGGCTCCAGTAAATTATGAAGTAACGAGCTTTCATACTTAGGAACATGTGTTTTTACAAAAACTGGAAGCAGCTAAGTGCCTCACACATTGTTAAAAACATAATTTGAGCTAAGCTGCTCCCTCCACACACACATACGCACACTACAGCTCAAGTCAAGTATTTGGATTGAATGGATCACCGGCAATCTTGTTAAGGGGTTGCTCAGTGGCTAGTGGCTCCTGCACTAAGTCACCCTCTACTCCTCACGCCAGACTTGAGACGCTCAGCAGTTCTCGCTCCAGTGACTGCAGACAGAATTTGGGAGGACTAGCTTCTGCAGGCCAACCTCTGTGAACGTCCCCAAAAACTTATATATGATGAGAAAACGGAATGACTTTTTCTGAAGTCAGGGTGGCTTGACAGCACTCAGCCATCGTTCTACAATTTCACCCATCACTGGTTGGCACAGAAATACAGTGAGTGAAGACCATCCATTAGAACCAGAAGAAAGAGGAGTTGGGTCCAAATTTCACAGTATATCACAGAATCACAGAATCACAGAATCGTTTAGGTTGGAAGGGACCTCTGGAGATCATCTAGTCCAACCTCCCTGCTCAAGCAGGGGCCTCTAGAGCATATTGCCCAGGATCACATCCAGACGGCTTTTGAATATCTCCAGCGAAGGAGACTCCACCACCTCTCTGGGCAACCTGTGCCAGTGCTCTGTCACCCTCACAGTCAAGAAGTTTTTTCTCAGGTTCAGGTGGAACTTCCTGTGGTTCAGTTTCTGCCCATTGCCTCTCGTCCTGTTGCTGGGCACCACGGAGAAGAGGCTGGCCTCATCCTCTTGACACTCCCCCTTCAGATACTTGTACACGTTGATGAGATCCCCTCTCAATCTTCTCTTCTCCAGGCTGAACAGGCCCAGCTCTTGCAGTCTTTCTTCATAGGAGAGATGCTCCAGCCCTCTAATCATCTTGGTAGCCCTCCGCTGGACTCTCTCCAGGAGTGCCATGTCTCTCTTGTACTGGGGAGCCCAGAACTGGACACAGTACTCCAGGTGAGGCCTCACCAGGGCTGAATAGAGGGGCAGGATCACCTCCCTCGACCTGCTGGCAACACTCTGCCTAATGCACCCTAGGATCCCATTGGCCTTCTTGGCCACAAGGGCACACTGCTGGCTCATGTTTAACTTGTTGTCCACCAACACATATCCAGGGGACAAATCTCTGCAAAAAAGAATCTAACCCCGATTTCGCGTACACCAGGTATCTTCCTCAGAGTTACTTCTTTTTTTCACTAACATCTTGTCCTCAAACACTGTAGATAAGATTTACCTTCTTAAGGGAACGGCAAAACCGTTTTCCCTTCTGTTTAGCTACTATTCAAGCCAGAATCATGCTAATCATTTCAGTAACATTTGTAGGTTTAAACAATGAATGAGTTTCAAAGTATCAGTCATATTAATCATCAGAGTCACATGCCTACAATCTTAAGCCTATTTCCCCCTGTGTTATTAAATTAATATAAACTCTTTAGTTCAAGGGATTTAGTTACAAGCATATTATAACCATTAAGGTGATGATTCCGCTTGCTGGAAGAATGCTTAAAAAATGGGAGTATTCCCAGAAAACAGCATAATTAATTCATAATTTGCGATAAAAACACAACTTTAATTATATGCATATTTGATTAAAACCACAGAAAACGTTTATTTTAAAAAATTCTCAGGACGAAATACAAAGCCTACTGTTTAGCAGAGAAGCATAGATTTTAAAGACGGAAAGAACCCCGTTAGATTGCCTGATTTCATAGCAACATACAAAAGGTTGGTCAGAAAGGGGCTGCTGGAGGTCATCTGCTCCAACCTCCTGCTCCAATGTCACCAACACTTGATCAGGCCAGCTGGTTTTTGTCCACTGTAGTTCTCAGCGTCTCAAACAATGAAGCTTGAGGCACTTCCTATGAAAGATTATTCTCCTTCGATTTGCCTGGTTCAAAAATACCCACAGTCATGTCAAGCTGCAAGCTCCCTGTGTTCTTAGGAGGAAGCAGGATATTGCTCTAGGAAGGTAGAATTTCCTGTGGATTTCCTGTGGTCTCCTCACTAGAAAGGGGAAGTGAAGCAGCACTGAAGAAGAGCATACCAGACTGCTCTTTTTTTTACTAATCATCACTACAGCACCATTACTTGTGAGCTGCCCAAGAGGTGATTAGCATTTCAGCCGGTATGACAAATCCACCTCCCACTGGAGTAAAAAGCAAAACTTTCAGTGCTTGAGATTGATCACAGAAAGAGTTCCTTTAAGGAAACAGACTCCAGTGCGCTGTATCTCTTGGTCTCTGACACTGGGGGATGAGGTATTTTAAGTCGGGCTAGTTATAAACTCTAGCGATGAGTCAGCCAAAGCTGAAAATTAGTCCTACTTTCATAGAACCACCAAAATGAGGGTTGTCTTGTTAGACCTGCTCAGGAAATGTAACTTTCTGGAACTAAGTAAAGAGGTAGGAAGAATGGGAATTGGAAGTAAAAGCAAAGCAACAATACTACAAACGCTCCCAACTGAGCTTCCTCCTGGTATTCGAACATACTGCAGAAAAAAATCGCAGCAACCTTAATTAGTTATAGTTGCAAAACAGAATATATTCCTGAAAAGATGCTAAAAGAACTTTTGTTTTTTGATGTAATTAGCATTCAGATAGGAAAGCGTAATCTTCTAACAGGACATAAGGAATAAAGTAGCTGAAGGTACGCTAATTAGCCTAACCCTGCTTAGCGCATTCCTGAGCTGTTTGGTTGCCTTCTGCAGATTTTCATAACAGAACTGGCTGCTAGAAAATTGTCACTGATATTTGTCTGGAGTTGTTCAACTAGTTTAGCTCTTGCCTGAAAAGCAATGCTGAGAGGAAAACCCACAGAAGACTTCAAAGGCTATCAGGGCCAGGCCATCCATTTCCTTCACACACATTTCTATATTCTTATTACTTGCTTTGCCGCATGAATTCCGGAATGGCTTCTGTTTGTTTATTTTACCTTACTAGAGAAAACAACAAGTTGTATGTTTCCATTTTTAAATTCTTACTCAGATTTTGCCCTATCATTTATGTCT